TTTTTTTCGTCTTGTGGCATATGTTGGGGATTCATGACTGCCCAGTGTAGTTCCTATTCCGACTGTTCAATCGACGTGTAAAACTAGCTGATAAGCTAGCTTATATAACTCAGTATTTTTTTAGTTTATAGCTTATAACTTATGACTTATAGTTAATAAGCTAGCTTATATAATAAAAATGTTTGGTAAAATTAGCTGATAAGCTAACTGGAATAAAAAATTTAACTACCTTATTTGAAAAGCTACCTAAGAAAGCTTATCAAGCTTTTTTAAGAAAACTAGTCCCACCAAACGAGATTTATTTGAATACACGGAGCTTATAAGCTAACTAAATATGTTATAAGCTAGCTTATTTGTCTATCAAACATAGTCTTAATGAAAATAGCAATTAATATTTCTATAGCTTTTTTATACCTACTAGTGCATACCCCGTGCGATGCACGTGATACATATAATAAATCAATTATTTCTGTAGGACTTGTACGTCTAGACAAAAAAACAATAGGTTTGGATCATCCATATTTCACATCTTTTGATAAGTGGCGTTTATTTAAACCAAAAAATTAACATGTTCATTAATATATAATTCCGCTAACACGTCATACTAATATTTATTTGATTTTTGAATACATATTTATTCATTGATATAAGAAAAAATAAAAATTTTATTTATTCTCGTTCACCATATAATACTCAATTATTATTTTATTATAAAATTTATAGTCATATAATATTATTATTATTATTTGTAAAAGTTATAGAAGTAGTCTTCTTTATGTAATAAATCAAAATAAAATTTTGAGTATAAATGTTTACAAAATACACACACATGTTTTTTAGAATTCAATTTTCTCATAATAATTCTTTTTTTTAAAAAAAAAAATGGTTTAGCAATTGCCAAAAAATAAATCCCTTACAAAATCAAGAGATTTTTCTAATTTTCATCCTAAGGATTTATAGTTTATTTAACATACTATGAAATAGAAAAATATTTTACAATAAGTTCATTTTTGAAATAATATTAATTTTATTATCTACCCATCAATAAAATCATTTAATGATGTGATCATTATCTTTTAAATGATAAATAATATTAATTTTTCTAAAAAAAATATTAGTTTTATATAATTAAATAAAGGTTATAAAATATTACTCGACAAATATTAATTATAATGGATATCAGTAAAATTATTGCATAAATGATTTAAGAAAAAAATCTTTAAGATCATATCTGTATAGTAAATGTAAATATGCAAGCATTTAATGCATATAGTAAAAAATTTCCAAATAAGGTTTGCATTAAATGTTTGTTGACTTTTCTTGCTACTATTTTTTATAAATAGGTTGGCTTTTAATATAGATATAGATATAGATATCTTTTGAGAAAAATTCAAAACTAATCTCACAGGTATAGGAGGTGTGACATTTTTTGTCCCAACGAAATCCAAAAAATATTAATAGTCCCACAACTTTTAAAAAAAATATCAAAAGTAGGACTTTTTTCAATTTTCTGGTCAGGAAAGCCACGTTGCACACACGTGACCACATTCATCTGACGTGGATGAGTACAATGCCAAGGGAAAAAATTAAAACGAGTCCCACATGGAAGGGTGACATTTTTTATCCCAACGGATTCTAGAAAATATTAAATAGTCCCGCTACGTGTGTGCGACGTGGCTTTCTCGGCCGGAAAATTAAAAGACGTCCTACTTTTGATCATTTTTTAAAAGCTGCGGGACTATTAATATTTTTCTGGATTCCGTTGGGACCAAAAATGCCATCCCCCTATACCCGTGAGACTAGTTTTAAAATTTTCCCTATATCTTTTAGTTAACTAGTACAACGCCCGTGTATTACACGGTGCTTGCTAAATTTTTTCCTTAAAATTTAAATTCAATGAGAAAAAGTAGTTGACAATTTAAATATATTTTATAAAAATATATTATTATATATTTTAGTATGACACTTGTTACTTGTGCGATTTACATGTTATATTATAATAATTTTTCAAACTTATAACATATAATTACATTAAACATAGATATATTAGTTGAGAAATAATTTTATTTTTATTAATTAATTTTAATAAATCTTTTTTTTATTATTATAAAGATAAATATAACTTATTAATTTATATATACAAGATGGACGTCAAATCGAAACTAATCAAAATATGATTAATTTGATATATTATATATGTAAAAATCGATAAGAAATACAAAAGTTATTAATCTTTAAAATACATTTACAATTCAATAGTTATAATATGAAATGAGATTAAAACACAATGAATACATCTAAAATGATCATAAACAAATTAACATATTTATGGTAATCCGAACCTAATTTATTTTTTATTGAAATTAAATTAAAATTTATCCAAGCTAAATAATAAAGCATGGAATTTTATACACCTAAAATTTCGAAGCATGCGAGTCTGCCACTTAGGTTCGGGAATTATATATATGGAGGATATCGGACGTGGAATATACACAATTCTCGTTTTATCTCGAACAGTCGGACGATCCCCGGAAAGTGTCAGCAAAACCCTCCAACTCAACAAGCAAAGAGCCTAAATCTAAAACCTTCTCTCCGCCACTTTCCCAAATTCCCCATTTCCATCAGCAATAAACAGATTCCATACATCGATCGACAAACATGATTTTCTTCTTTGTCGGAGGACTGCAGCAGCAAGCCCGCCAGGTGCTCAAGAGCGGCGCCGGGAGGTGCGTCGTGTGCGGGTCACTCGCCGATCTCGTCGAGTACGACAAGGTTCTGAAGCTGTTCTTCGTGCCCGTGTGGCGGTGGCCGGAGAAGGATCCAATGATGCGCTGTCAAAGCTGCAATCTTATCTTCCCTCCGTCGCCGCCGCCGCCGCCGCCGCAGCCGCCGGAGAAAGAGGCTGTGGAGGCGGCCTTGAGGTGTCAGTTCTGCGCCCGTCAGGTGGACGCCGCTTTCAGGTTCTGCCCTTTCTGTGGATCGGCCCTGTGAAAAATATGAACGATTGACTGTCTGTTCCCCTTTTTGGTTTTTTTTTTCTATTTTCTTTTTAAATTTTTAATTTCTGGTTTTGTATGTAAATTGTAAGTCAAAATGTGGACAACACATGAGAAATAAAAAAGATAGTTTTATTGATTAGATGTTTTTTCTTTGTGTTTTGTGTATTTATGTAGCTGTGTTGCTGGCATTTAAGTTGATGATGTTCTTGCTTAAAATACATAATTTGAAATAAAATCTTTCTACACCAACACAATTCAATATGGGAAGAACCACACACTAATACATAAAAAGATAGGAAGAGCAGAAAAAGAAGAAACTAATCTTGACTATTTCCAAGTTCAATCACATTCATACTTCTAGAGAAAAACTTCCCGAAACCATTTCCGGCAGCCACAATATGGTTGTTCGACGATGAGGTTGGCAATAAATCCTCATCTCGGTTCGCAACACGACCATGACTGTCCATCGACATTCTTGGATGATGATCCAAATCGCCACTAGTTAATGACAAAGAATCTTTAGATGTTAATCCCCACGCATCTCCTTCATTGGGTGGGGCCTTTGATAAACCGGGTATGCTTGAAGTGTCTATCAAGAAATCCTCCAATGTTGCAAGAGACTCGAGCTGTCGTCCTAAAGACGCAATCGTCTTTTGGCACTCGGCAAGCTTATCAGCAGCTACAGCTATATCCTCCTGCAAAGGTATCACAGTTTCTATTTTAAATCCTTTTGAAAAACGTAAAGTATGAAGCAAAATATTTGTGTTTTTCTGAAAAATACTGATCTTGTCATTAGACCAAACCTCAGGAGTAGGAGTAGAATTTACATTTAATCAAAAGCAAGTTAAAACTGGTGAAAAACCCAAACCTGCTTTACTTTTGGTTCAGCATTCAAGTTGATACTCTCCACAAGCTCATACTCCTGGATTCTCCTGGTTAGTTCACTCTCCAATTCTCGACACTTGCCACTTAATTGTGCGGATAATTTCTTTTCCCCTTCAACCTCGGCCCTTAACGACTCAACATTCGCCGAATGTGTCCTAGCTTCGGCTTCCATACCCACAAGCTTAAACTCTAGCAACTCTTTCATCTCATTCACAGCCTTAAACTCCTTTTGCACCTCCTCCAATTTTATTTCAACTTCCTTCATTTTACACTCTGCAACCTTCAAAGAATCCAAACTGTCATCCAAAGCTTTCTGAAGTTCTAACTTCTCCATTTCTACCCTTTTCAGCTCGTTTTCCAATTCATCCACCCGTTTAGTCATCAAGTCAAGCTCGCCCCTCAATGGATTGTCCATTGAAGTCGACTCCACATTGGAAAATGAACTTTCATTTTCGGGCTTGGGCAAGGCCACAAGACGTTCCATTTCAAGAAAATCATCCATCATATCGATTTCAACGGCTAAATTCTTGGGCGAGTGCCTCTCGTTCTTCACTAGGTCGAAATCCGAGCAATTTTGTTCAGACGTGTTGCTACTCTTACAACTGTCAATTAGGGACTCGGCATAAAAAGAGGACTTGTGATTGCCAAGAGGGGGCGATTTTCGAAATATATTGGATTGGAGTTTTCGACACTCGGCCTCGAGCCTGGCAATCTTTTTTATGCTCTCCAATTGCAATTTACTAGCCGACTCGGCTGCTCGGGTGCTCAAATCCCTCTCTACTGTGACGATTTCTAATTCCTTCAGACAGGACCCGAGTTCTTGTCTGAGGGACGTGTTTTCTCTTTCTAGAGACTCGAGGAAGTCGGATGAGTTGTTTTGGAGATGGAGAATTTGCTGCTCGAGCTCGGCCTTGTGGGACTCCCACTCGGTGCTTTTCTCATGAACGGCATCGGATATTCTTTTTTCTTGCTCATCTTTCGACTGTCTCAATTGGCGTACACATTCCTTGAGGGCCCCGTCCAAATGGCTTGCTCGCACCTCGAGGTTCATGTTTTGCTGCAATGCAGCCTCGAGCTGATGTTTTAGCGAAGCCACTTCATTTTCTGCCTTCTCCCAACCTGTTTTCAAACAATAAAAATTAAAAAAACTACCAAAGTTGAGAAGCACCATTTCTTCTCACACAAAAGCTAAAGAGTGTAAATTTTTAGTTATCTGCAAACATTCATTAAACAAATTTTACCGGCCACAGCTTCTTCGGCAACTTTAGCATGCTGCTTAACCAAGTCTTCTTTTACGCTGAGGTTAACGAGAGCTGCAGATAGCTTTTGTGTTAGGCTCTTGACAGTTTCATGCACTTCGTCGTCCATTGATGATGTAGCTTTCGAGGTCACTTCTGAGGATGGTGATTTGTCATTTGTAGGTTGTTGTTCTCTCATTACTTCCTGCTCAAATGGAGCAAAAAAAGAGAAACAAGGGGAAAAGAAATAGCAAAACGTGATATGAAATTATTAATGCAAATTACTGTAAATCGACTCTATGATGGACTTTTTGCAGCAAAACTTAAAATAGGTCTAAAAAAGTTAGATGATGAAAGAAAATTGTAAAAAATGGGGGAAATGTGGTTGAATTTTGAAATTGGTGAGCTAAAATGGGAAATAATGAACTCCTGAAAAAAAAGGTGCATGACATTCAACATTAAATCATTAATCAATCAACAAAAATCAGATGAGATTAAAAACATTAAAGAACAAAAAAGGCGCACGTAGAGTTTCAACATTAAATCATTAATCAATCAACCTGTTCATCAGAGTATCTCTCAGAATGCGAAGAAAACGATCCCGAGCTTTCGCTTTCTCCGGGACTCCTCTCGGACGATTTCTTTTTCCATGGCCATTTCCTCTTTTCCATCTTGGTTGTCGATTTAAACTGACCGGAAATTCAATACTATTCGAACAATGTTCATCTGCAACTGTATTTGCGCGGACTCACAGTATATGAATATCACTTCAAAGCAGCAAATGACCAAGAAAAATAATCAAACAAAGGCTAACCTAACATGAACAGAACAAAGCATGAAAAATGTTGAGGATCGAATCGAATCGAATCTCGAGTATTTCTACAACTTATTAGCGACCACCAACCCAACCCGCTTAGCTCAACATTTTCAAGAAATCACCTAAAATCTTTGCTTCAAATCCAAAACACCAACTAACCAACCTAATAAAGAAACATTATTGGCTTACTTTGCAACAACCGTAAACACCAAAAGGAAAAGGAAAATCAACTCTGGTAGCCAATCTTAATCCAAGTTTCAATCTTTAACCCACAAATCACATTAACAATGGCAAAGTCAAAGGTTAGATAGAATACACCAACCGCAAGAAAAGCAGCAAACAACAGAGAGATTATGAATCATATTCTCAGTAGCCAACCCACTAAAGTCTTAATCAAGCTACAAAATTGTTAGAAAAACCTAAATCTTTCCGAAAAAATTTATGTAATAATAAGTGAACAAATAAAAAAGTTGCAGAAAAACCTGGGATGGTGAATCAAGATTCAAGAAGTCCCAGATGAAAAGATCCAATCTTGGAGCCACCACTCAAGAGTAATCTTAAAAGGGTAACAAACAAGTATAAACAAGCAGCTCAATTTCTCTCTCAACAAGTGTACAGATCCAATTTCACTTGTGCTGGCTTATTTTCCGATGAGAAAGAAGATCTGGAGATAATCCAGTGAAAAAAAAATTATTTATAAAAAATTATTTTCCGACCTCAACTTATAGGTAGGAATAAAAAATTATTTTACATTTTTAAATCATCGAGGAGCAGAGCATGTGAGAGAAATGACTGGATGGTGTTTTCAAAGTGAAGATTGAGACCACTTTTCAGCTTTTTCGTGTGTTTATTTATTTATATATAAATTGGGAGATTCTATGATCATGTTACGTAACCATTCTGTCGGGATTTGTAACCGTTAGATCAAACTATCCACGACGGTTACGGTTACATGATAATTTAACGGTTACAAATCATAACGGAATGGTTCGTAACGGGACTGTAGCATTTCATTTTTACTACCTCCTGTTCATTATAAATGTCGTTTTGACTTTTGTGATTCATCCATTTTATTATGTATCTAGACATTAATATGTCTAGATACATAACAAAATTGATGAATCAAAAAAGTCAAAACGCCATTTATAATGAATAGGAGGGAGTACATTTTAATATTTTCAAGAATTTTAAAATTGTTGGCATTAATTTTGAAATTAGGTGGTCTTATTCCCGCCCATCTGGCACCAACAGTGTGCTTCTTCAGAATGGTTTGAGACTTGTAAAAAAAATAACATATTTTCTAGTTAGATAGAATATAATTAACAACTTCTTTATAAGAAAAATAACTATAATAAAAAATAAAACCACTTATATTATTAAATTTAAATTTGATAAAAATAAACACTACAAAAATTTTGTACTATTTTTTCAAAATATATAAACTACTTAATTACACAGAGTATTATTAATTCTAGTTCTTTAGTACCAACTAGTATGTAACCCGTGCGATGCACGTGCTAGTACATATTTTGGAAAAATTTAAAAAATTAAAAGGTCATTAATTAATAAGTTATCATAATACGTATGGCATTTATAAAGTAAACATAAATTCGTCATTGGTAAAAAGTTATACAATATTAAAAACCTCCTTATATACAACGTTATTAGTTTGATTATTGGGTAACTCATCGTCCCCACAAACTAATATTTTCAACCTCTTCCTATTAGTAACACGTGAAACAACGACGTATAACTGGCCATGACTAAAAATATATTTTTTCAAGAACAATCCTACATGTGATAAAGACTGACCCTGACTCTTGTTATGGTCATAGCATAGGAAACCATAAGGGGAAATGCCTCCGCTCAAACTTAAACGGAACCCTAACATAAGAAGGAGTTATGTTCATTCGAGGAATCAACATCTTCTCACCTGCGTGATCTCCAGTCAATATCCTACATTCAAGAACATGCGGAGAGAGCTTCGTAACAACTAAACGTGTGCCATTACACAAACCTATAGAATGGTCCATGTTTCGCAACAAAATGACTCATATCTTCAAATGCAACTCATGGTTCGGCGTTCCCGAACACCTCACCTTCGTTTAGTACACCTCAAAATGCTCCCATATTTGTAGCATGTATTATGCCTTTAATAAATGCACCCTACAAAATAACTTTAATAAAAATTAATTAACATATTTTTTCAAATTATATAAATTTGATATTACAAATGAAAATATTTACTTGTCCATCATGAAACAGTATATGGAATGCGTTCCAGCTCTCCCGTTCGTGATACGTTTCAATTATTCAGACTGTTCTCAAAAGCAAATAAGATTTGTTTGTCCTACTCGCGAAATCGAGTGTATCTCAGACTGGCGGCATTATATTAACGATGTGTTCTGAAATTTATCTTTGTATTTTTTTTCTCTGAACGCTGTGAAAGACGTGAAGAAATAATGGTGGTAGTGAATATCCTTTTATACAACTTTTTTTTAGCAAAAAAAGTGATTGATGAAAATTATTTAAATAGAAAGATATTGGTAAGATTTTAACCAAAAGTTATTAATGATAATTATGGATCAATTTTAACTAATCTTTTTTTTTTTTTATGGCAGACACCTTATTAAACGCAGGATATGCGGTCTTCAAATAGGAGATTTATATGGAACCACAAAAAAAAGGGGATTTTATTTGAATTTTGATTCCATATTTTTTTATTTTATTCCTAAAAAAACCAGAAAAATAAATATGCTAATAAAGAGCCCGAATTGTGAACCAAAAAAAGGAAAAAGTTTGAGTCCGAATTGTAAAAAAATTAATGCAATAGCGTGAAAAGATTAATGCAATGGCAGGATTCCATAAATATAATGATTTATTTCATAGTATCTATTGAAATTAATGCTCGCTATTTATTAGGTCGAATTGTTAAAACAATACTAAGAGTGATTTTAGGAAATTTTGTTAATTTACTATTTTTAGGCAATAATTAATGAAATTGGCGGGAAAGAGTTTCTAAAAGTAAATTATGTTAATCCTTATTATATATTAATAGATGTCTAACTAAAAGAATTTAAAGAAGTTCACATAATTTTAAATAATATTACAATTTTTTTTGTAGTATTTACTTTTTCAAATTCAACTTAAAAATGCATTTACTTTTTCATGGCGTTTATTTTTCTTATCAAGTATAGTTGTTAATTGAATTTTTTATCAAACATATTTTGACTTATTTATTCATTAAATGAATTCAAGTGCTATGAGAAATTTATGACTTATTTCAGAATATTGGAGTAACTATATGGATGTGGTAACTGGTACGTTGAACGCGAACTTTAAAAAGCTGAAGTATTGGGCTATGGGCTTATATGTTAAATGAATAATGGCCATAATGTTTAAAGAGCGAGCCCAAAATAAATGAGCCCAATGCATGGGAAACATGTGGAAATTACTTGGGCCAAAGGACGCACAAACGTTTGTGATTTACAGCAATGCCTTAATTACGAACCACAAACTTTTATCACAATATTTCCAGTGCATAAGCTTCTTCTACAAACCTACTGTCGCTGTTATCAAAATGGAAACAAAAATCATAGCAACAATCCACTATGTTATTTCCCGTAATCAAAAATTGATGTGTTTTTTTTTTTTCTTTGAAGTATTTTCAAAATTGGTATTTTATTTGTCACCTAATTTTTCAACATTTTAAATTAAAATTTGTCTCCTTTTATAAGTTATTTTCTAATATGTTTACCATTAAGAACTCATGATTATATGTATTAGTATATTATCTATTTTTTTAATAAATCATAAAAAACTAGTTAATCTTAAGTATATCTTAAGTATATTATCTATTTTTTTAATAAATTATAAAAAATTTGAATAGGACAAAATCAAAAGCAATAAATAAACTAAATATAAACCATAGATAAACCAAAAGAATACAATAGATAAATCATAGATAAACCAAAAGAGTACGATCAATAACTAAAATCAAGAGCAATAACTAAATCATAAAAATAACTAATCATAAAAATCAAAATAATACAATCAATAACTAAATCATAAAAATCAATAACTAAATTG